ATTCATGGTACTAGTGCCAAAAATCATCAGTGACGTTATTGTCTCAAACCACTAAGAATCTCGAAACGAGTTTTGTTCGCTAACAGATGAAAGATACGGTCGAAGGGCGATTAAAGAAGGGATGTATTTTGATAGGTGCAGTTTGAAACGCTAACGAATCTGCCTGCAAAGCGTCATAGGTCAAGATTAGCTTATCTCCACAATATCAAATTCACCGGAAGCAACAAGCAAAGGATTATTTTGTTGTGAAGACATGATTTTATCAATATTTAAAATCTCTGCTACGTTTCGGGTCAAGATTGAAATCTTGCTTTCTCGTTTAGGTCCTATAAGTCATTTTTGGCTGAGAAAAAACGGCCATAGTTTCTGTTGGAGAAATGTTTTGTAGATGGAATGCGGATTTGGAGGTGTTTCAAACCGTTTTTAAGAGTACTTCGATCAAGTATCCTTTGCTTATAAGTGCGATCAGCTATGATGAATTCATTCTTATTTCTTTAGTTCGTGATTTTGCATACAAAGCAAGTGATCAAGAAATTAGGTGAAAGCAACAAACGTATTCGAATTTGTGAAGTTCCGTAAAATTTCAAAATTTCCTTTCAGTGATTATCATCTTTTTTCAATATATAAGATTTATGCTATGCTAATCATTCCACTAAGGAACAGTGTCAAAGAGATCCACTGCGAAACTTTCTGAATTTTTGGGTAGTATATTCTTTCACCTATTAGCACTACAAACGTTTTCGCCCCTCACTAATCTCACTACAAACCATATGCAAAGCGAGATTATTTCAGCCTTAAGCCTGATGTGTCAAAGATCGTCCGAAAAGTGATCAAACTAAATCAATTTAGAGCCCTACGCATGAACACCTTCATTGGGAAAGAGAGGAGGTCTTATCAGCATACTTGATGAAGAGTGGAGCGGTCATATTTGAAAGATGAATTCCAGCAAAAGAGTCAGGCCCTCTGAATGCTCATGGTCCCCTCCGTATCAATCAGAGTTTGTTAAGACTTTGATTTGCGAAACTCTTTGTAGCCTTCTGATGGATACTTCTACACAATTGAGGTTGTGCTGCTGTTTCAATGCTCTGAATTTCAGCATATTGCTCAAGTGAATTAACTGAGGAGATAAAGTCAAAAGATAGCTTATGATCCTCAGAAGAGAGCTCAGTACTCGAATAAAGGAATTTTGGCTTGAAGACTTGTCCGTAAATATTCAAAGCAACACTCTCCCACAAGCCTCTACTTTTTCAAAAGGATCAACAAACCCTTCACTCGAGGGATCCCCTTCC